GCCGCTCGGCCCCGGCGCGCTCCGAGAGGCCGCCATGGGCACCGCGTGCTGGCTCGCGCTGGGCAGTCTGGTCACCCTGGCCGGACTGCTGGAAGGCCGGATTGTGGGCGAGGAGGAGGCCGGCTTTGGTGAATGTAACAAGTTCTTTTATGCCGAGACCCCTCCCGCGGGCCTGGCGGCCGATTCCCACGTGAAGATCTGTCAGCGCTCCGAGGGCGCGGAGCGCTTCGCCACGCTCTACAGCACCCAGGACCGCATCCCCGTGTACTCGGCGTTCCGCGCGGCGCGCCCAGGAGCCGGTGGCGCCGAGCAGCGCTGGCTGGTGGAGCCGCAGGTAAGCGAGGTGGTCCTGGAGCCCGGCCAGCGGCGGCGGCAGGCCGCTGGCCTTTCCTCCCAGGAACGCTTTGCACCCACCCGGAGGGCAGGACCGGCAAAGGCAGCCCCCACGCCTTGGGTGCCTTGGGTCAGGAACCCGCGGTTTCGCGTCCACCGCACGGCGCACCCGGAGGGAGCGGCTTCCTCACCTCCTGTCAAAGCCACAGCTGGGCTCTGCTTGAGCCTTCGCTTAAGCCGCGGGGCGGGAGGTCCCTGTATGGGTGGTTCTCCCTACGTTTCAGCGCAGTCATCTGCACTGTCTCGTTCGTTTCCTGGGTGGCGAGGGGCGTGAGACAGAAACCCAGGAGACGATTCAATCCGTAGAAAGCGGCGGCTGGGCGCTCACAGGCGTGGCGCAGGTCATTGCCACAACTTTTAGGGGCCAGAGGTGGGCATTTTCATCCCCATTTTACAGAGGAGGAGATCTAGGCTGGGGTGGGGGGCATGAAGAGGCTGGTGGAGGATCACCCAGCTGGTAAGATGGGGCAGGTCTTTTGGCTATACGTTCACTTCCCTTCTGCAGAGTCCATCCTAGTGTGAAAATCCTTCCCTGCCACACACGACAGCTAGTAAATTTGAGTTAGGACAATAAAATAAAGGTATAGATTTTTTAAAATGCAATGCGATAGTGACAAATGGTAAGGAAACGTTGACAACCTCCGTCTGATGGGAAAGACAAACCAGGTTTTCCTGACTCTTCATACCTATATTATCAGACCACTTGGAAATCATGTCCCCTCCCTGGTGTTCTGTCTTGTCTGGTGACAGTGACGAAATACTCGAGAGGCCCCCCAAAGCCCTGCTGAGCCTGCCGACATCTCTCCCCACGTCCGCACGGCCGCTCTCCTCTCTAGAACACCCAGCCAAGCAAGCTCCGTTTTGCCGGTTCTCTGCCTTGCAGCAGAGGCCGCCCCATCTGGGGGAGGAGCCGACACGCCCAGCACCGCCCACTCCTGCTGGCAGCAGCCTGCCCCGGGTTACTTGGGTAAACTGGAGACCAGGGGGTTCTAATCGCGTTCCGACACTTCTGGCTCTGAGATATGGGCTAGGTCTCAAGCAATCCGCCCTTCAGTTTCCTTACCTTCTCCACATCCATTTCCCCTGCCTCGCTTGTTGATGTTAAGACCGATGAGATCAGGGATGAGATCATACCTTTGTAAATTATAGAAATTTAAAATACAGTTTAATCTAAATTTAGTGTGTCCCCATCTGCACACCTAGGGCTCTCAGTGTATTCCTCAGCTCCTTCTTCACTGTGATGATAGGGCTGTGAAGAAAATAGATGGCCTGCTCCTTTTTCCTTGAGGATCTCATGGACTCCTTGGGGAGACAGAACGTACACGTGAGAAAGACAAGGAAATACCTGCTAAACGACTTTTGATTAAATTCAGAACAGAATTAGTAATCACTTACTGTGTGCCAGGTACTTGTGATACCAAGAGAATTGAGTGTGGCTCCAGAACTCAAGGGTCTGCAGGTGGAGCTTGCTGTATAGAGAAGTGACATAGCATCTGATTAGAGCCAGGCTGCCTGGGTTCATATCCCAGTGGATTCAAATCCCAGTGCCTCTGTGAAGTAGCTGTAAATTTAGACAGGTTAACTTGGAGTTACATCATAGGGTGTTTGTGAGGATAAAATGAGTTACTGTATGTAAAGCTGTCTGAGAGGTGTCAGGCACATAAGTAGCAGCTGTTATGACATAAGCAAAAAACAATTTAATAAAGGTTAAACAGAGACCTCTTAGATTTACCAGTCTTTGAGGTTATGGGTGAAAGCCTGAAAGTTAGGGTATTTGTGCTTGCCTGGAAGGATGAGGCCAAGAGCAGCAGGAAGACAAGCAGGAGGAGGGCATTTAAAGCAGAGGAACACCATGAGTGAGAAGTGCACGGCAGATTTAGAGATTAGTGCGTGGGGAGTGGTTGGAACAGCTGAGCTAATGTAAGTGAATAGGAGCGAATATAAGTGAATAGACTATAGTCAAGTGTTCATGGTGAAGTGGGGTAATGGAAGGGAGGGGTCAGATATGAGGAGTAATCAAGGAAGGTTTAAGGAGACAGAGCCATTTGTGTGGCTATTGAAGGAGGCATAGGGTTGTGATTTGGCAGAGAGGAAGTGGATATAACCCAGTCACATAGACAGTGGAGATGCTGGTGCCTCAGTAGAGTAATGAGGAATGGGGCTGGGGACATAAGAGAGGATGGGGAGGGAGGGTAGAGATAGTTTCAAATGACATCTTGAGAGTTGAGATGTACAGTTGGTTCTGAAAAGTACAGGAGGACAGAAGTCTCAGCCAGAATGATCACAGTGGCTGTGGACAGCAGGGTGCTTCTGCCTGCAAGATGGGGGTCGCCCTTAACCTCAGGTCAAACCAGCCAGGAACAGAGGGTATTAGAAGGGAGGGAAGGAAGCAGTAGGTGGAGTTGTCAAATGTGTGTGGGTTCCACACACACTGCAGCAAACCTGACTCCCCTGTGGCCTGCTCCAAGGAGGCCTGCCTCAGAGCCAAGGTCCCCACTGCAGAAGGATGCTCAGGGCTCAGTGTATACTTTTGGCTGCTTCAGAGCAGTTTGTGATGCTGAGTCGCCTTGTGCCCATGTCACCTTTTTATGAGGTCAGCGTTACCAAGAGGCCCAGCAGACAGCCTTAGGAGGGTGGGGGAGATGAGACAGGAAACTAAAAGGGGCTTTGGTGCTTGACTTCAGGAATGAGTCAGACAGAGCTAGACTGACACTGGGACTCCCAAGGCCCAATTCAGCAGCTTTGTGACTGTCTTGAAGTTCCTCTTTGAAAAAAGCTCCCAAATTAAAGACCATAGAAACTTAGTCACTCTTGTGCTTAAAGCCTTCAAGGTGTTGGCTGCCCAGCACCAACAGGACAAAGTTCAAACCACAGAATACAGTTTACAAGATCCGCCATGATGTGGCTCCTGTCTCCAGCTCCAGCCCTGTTTCTCACCTCTCCCCACCCTCACATTTTATGTTCTAGTATTATCCAACTGCCTGGAGTTCCTCTCATAAACCACACTGTTTGTCACATTTGTCCCTTTAATCATCTGATTCCCTTTGCCTTGAATGCCCCATCTTGCCCTTCACTTCCTTCACCCAACTCCTTTCCTTTTTTTATTTTGTGGTTGTACTTTAAGTGAAAGTTTACAATTAACTCATACAGAAATTTATACATACATTGTTGTGTGACCCTAATTGCTCTCCCTATACTGTGACAGCACATTCCTCCTTTCCACCCCTGATTTCCTGTGTCGATTCAACCAGCTCCTGACCCTATCTGCTTCTCATTTCACCTCCAGACAGGAGCTGCCCATTTAGTCTCATGTATCTACTTGAGCTAAGAAGCACACTCTTCACGAGTATGGTTTTATGTCCCATAGTTCAGTCTAATCTTTGACTGAAGAGTTGGCCTTAGGAATGGTTTTAGTTCTGGGTTGACAGAGAGTCCGGGGGCCATGCTTTCTGGGGTTCCTCCAGTCTCAGTCAGACCATTAAATCTGGTCTTCTTACTACAATTTGAGTTCTGCACCCCACTTTTCTCCTGCTCCATCAGGGACTTTCCGTTGTGTTCCCTGTCAGGGCAGTGATTGGTGGTAGGCAGGCACCATCTAGTTCTTCTGGTCTCAGGCTGATGCAGTCTCTGGTTTATGTGGCCCTTTCTGTCTCTTGGGCTAGTGCTTTCCTTGTGACTTTGGTGTTCTTCATTCTCCTTTACTCCAGGTGGGTTGGGACCAATTGATGCATCTTAGATGGCCGCTTGCTAGTTTTTAAGACCCCAGATACCACTCACCAAAGTAGGATGCAGAACATTTTCTTAATAAACTTTGTTATGCCAGTTGACCTAGATGTCCCCTGAAACCATGGTCCCCAGACCTCTGCCCCTGCTACTCTGTCCCTTGAAGTATTTGGTTGTATTCAGGAAACTTCTTAGCTTCAGTTTAGTCCAGTTGTGCTGACTTCCCCTCCACCCACTCCATTCTTTAAGATTCTGCTGAGGTGTCACCTCCTTGAGAAAGGATTCCCCACCTGAGTTAGATCCACTGCCTGTGCTAGGTCCATCTCTCTCTATTTCTTTACTTACCATATTGTTTTACATTTACCCGCTTATGTATCTCTTTCCCCAACGTGAGCCCTTGAGGGCTGAGGAGTGCATCTTACTCAGTCTTGTATTTCTAGTGCCTAGCACGTAGCAAGCACTCAGTAAGTGCTGAATAAAATAATTTGATGTTAGGAGGATCAACCAGGCAGCAGTGGGTGAGATGTTCTGATTGCGCTTTCCTGGTAAGAGAGCTTCCTGTTTCAGAAGGTGACCAGCAGCCCTATTGAAAAATTCCATATGCAGAGCTGGAACCTTCCTGTAAGTCTACCCCATCAGTCCTAGCTCTGGCCTTTGGAACTATCCCAAATGATTTGGATCCCTTCTCTGCAAAACAGTCCTTCAGTGTTGGAACCAGTCTGCCCATGCTGGAAGAATTTAAATGGAACCTTCTGAGAGACAGAATGGGAAATTTAAAAGGAGGCAGAGAAAACAGAGGGCCGGTGGTTTTACGTGGAATGTGGTCATCTTTAAAGTGAGAATAGGGTGAAGGGAGAAAAGAGATGAAAAAACATGTCCCTGTCTACCATGATGGGAGAGGTTTGGAGGGTTTTCAGTCAAGACTCTGAAATCCTGAGAACTGGTTTCTGGTTTAGTGCAAGGAGCCTTAAACCTCTTAGTCCCTCAACTCCTTTCCATTTAACAGAAGAATTTTTGGAGGAGGCACCAGTGATGCCCTTCCAAAGTAAATTGTTAATTCATACCAGAAGCTAACATGTAAGACCCTATCATTTTATAAACATGAACACTGGAAGGAACGGGCCTTATAGACAGTAATAACAACTTACAATTATTTAATCTTACAAAAATACTGTGAGGTACATATCATTCTCTTCATTGAGAGATGTAGCACAGATA